ATATATATATATATATATTATAATTTTTTTTTATTTTTTTTTTACTATCTCTTTTCTTATGCACAGTGTAACTCATATCCATTTAAAATCCTACACCAAAAACATTAAGGTTAACTTGCATTCCTTGTTCTGTTCAAGCCCAGAAAAACACTCATCTTGAAAACAACAGACACTATTCCCCTCCCTCAGTCACAGGGGACATTGGCATACTGTTTGTCCATGTTAATGTTGCATTATTGAGATAATGCTGTCCGCCATTTGCCTTGGAACTTAGAATTGGGAAGAATGTTGCACCTATCTTCATCGTGTTTCAGTTGCAACTTTTGAAAATGAGTAGGGTGTACTCATAACATCATAACAATACGAGCTAATAACAATGGCTTTCTCTGTATCTTCTGCTTTTGAATGCTGCAGCTAAATGTTTATTTAATTTTTTGCCCTAAAATTTGCACAGTTTTTTTTTTTGTATAATTTGCTGAAGCTACGTATTTATGGATTTTTGTCCCCATATTTATAAACCAATTTTTGACTGAGATATGACCATTTTAATTCATTCTGACTGTATGTTAGCTGGCACTCGACTAGTATAGCATGCCGTTGTATCATGTAATATGTAAAAGTGGCTTTTAATGACACAATCGGCTTACCATAGACTGCCACCGTCATCTGCCTGGAGCAACCGAATCAGCTTCATTTTGCTGCGCCACCTCGGAGAGATGCAGCTGATTTGACAATTGAAATGCATTAATTATGGAAATGTTAGACTGAGATACACCTTTGCTATAATTTTTTGAGCAAACACGTCATTGTTTGTAGGTGGTTATCTTGTTAAATTTCGAAGAAATGCACAAGTCGCCTTCTGCCCATTCATGTTTCCACCTATCAGCTTTTGAAAATGCAGCTGATTTGACCATCAAAGTGAATTTATTAAGCAAAAGTTAGACTGAGACACACTTTTTACTATAATTTCGAACAAACAAACAATTGTTTTAAGTGTTACTCTTGTTAAATTCTTGTTAAAGTCCTCCCGTACACGTCCCCACGGCTGCCATTTGGCAGCCAATTGATTTTTGCCACAACACCGGCCCACATTTCCGGGTTGTCAGCAGTAACGCATAAAAAACACGACGCGTCAGTCGTGACGCATAGTAGATGCGATGTATACGGCAAAGTGACGTATACGGCAAAGTGATGTATACGGCAAAGTGATGTATACGGCAAAGTGACGTCCATCCATGCATCCATTATCTTTACCATCCATCCATCCATCCATTATCTTTTTTTTTTCATTTAGCCTTTATTTATCCAGGTTAGTCTCATTGAGCCACGAGAACTCATTTTCAAGAGAGACCTGTTTTAGGGAGCACATGGTGGGGGTTAAGGGCCTTGCTCATGGGCCCAGAGTGGGGCGAATGAGGGTGGGGGCAAGTGTGGGTGTTTCACCTACCCCACCCACAATTTTGATGTTGTCGGGGCCGGGGCGTGAACCGGCGATCTTCGGATCACAAGCCCACCTCTCTAACCTCTGCGCCACCACTCCCCGCTTTACCCGCTTATTCCATTTTGGATCACGTGGGTCGCTGGTGCCCATGTCCAGCAATCACTGTGCGAGGGGCGGGGGACACCCTGGACGGGTTGCAAGTCCATCACAGGGCCACATAGAGACAAACGAGACAAACAACCATTCACTCTCTCACTCACACCTAGGGACAATTTAGAGTTACCAATCAGCCTAACATGCATGTTTTTGGTCTGTGGGAGGAAACCTTGGTCTGTGGGAGGAAACCGGAGCACCTGGGGAAAACCCACGCATGCACGGAGAGAACATGCAAACTCCACCCAGAAAGGCCCCCGGACCGGGGTTTGAACCAAGGACCTGCTCGCTGAGAGGCAGCAGCTCTACCAGTTGCGCCACCGTGCTGTCGCAAAGTGACGTACTTTTGGATTTTTTCCACTTTATTCGACATATTTGGACTGATGCAACTTATAGGGCAGTGCAATGTTTACGGCGGAAAATATGGTACTAGAGATACTATAGTTCTATGTGTGTGACTGATTTAAAGAAAGAAACCAAGAAAAGAGTAAAAAAAAACAATAAAACAATCAACGTTTTCTGAGTGAGGCAACTATTATGGATATTGAGGTTGGAGTTAGAAGTTTCATACTTTTCAAATCAATTCAATTCAATTCAGTTTATTTATATAGCGCCAAATCACAACAAAGTTGTCTCAGGGCACTTTACAGGAACATTCACGTACATAAAAGCCAGTTAGTAAAGTTCTCTATCTAAGAAATCCAGCAGACAAGTTGAATCTTGGCTTCTTTGCAGTCTCCCATCCTGAGCAAGCACAGTGGCAACAGTGGAAAGAAAAACTCTCTTTAAAAAGGAAGAAACCTCCAGCAGAACCAGGCTCAGAGTTTTCACATTCCAGTTGATTCTTTCAAATTTGGACTTCCAAAATTTTTTACTTGTTTCTTCGGCCTTGTTCAGAGAACAAATGGCATGCCTTACAACTTGGACTATAGCATTTTAATTAGTTGCACAGAACTAGTGGTGGAGGTGATTTTCTGATGTCTCAAATGGCTTTGCGATATCTAGACATGTGCTGGGTGTGTGTGCTTTATGGAGAGCTTGAAGAACAAACAAGTATTTCATATCCATCTGAAAACCACCAACAGAATAACACTTTTCATGAACAAAATCATCATCCTATTTTTATCACTGTCACTATGAAAGGTGGGCAATTATGTAATTGCCTGTGCATGTGTTTGTTGTCTGTTCATTAGCTTAATATCTGATGAATCACCCAGAGTGTAAAAAATTGGGTGTATAGTACAACTATTTAGTTTTATTTATGTCAGCCTGATTGAAGATGGCTGCTATAGCAAATCAACCTTAGCAAACACAAACATGACCACAACACAGTCAGTTTTAAACATATCAAGCTAAAGTTTGGTGTGGTAGTAGCTGACAGTCATCCACAGCACAAACATTATTAACAGCAACAGCGTTTCAAGGGATGCTGCTGTTTATTCCAGTTATCAAAATTAAATGAGCACAAATAGAACATTTATGTCTCCATTAATTGATACAAAGACATTGCCAGTCAATTTTCTGGATGTTTTTGGATGCGTTAAGTTGGGGAAAAAAAGCCCATTTAGTTGTTTTCAAAGCCTCTTTTTAACCCAGAAATGCTCATTTCATTGAATACATATTTGTGTACCACCTTCAGGGGAGAACATGTTTTCTAGTTACAAGTTTGTTAGATGATGTTGTGTCCAGAATAACCTTCGTCTGATCCTGCAAACTCATTATCTCTCCTCTGACAAACGTAAGATTAAACACAATGGTTGAATTATTACTGGAAACTTCAGTTCTTTTCTCTAATCTGTTTTATGAATGATGGAGCTTTGTTCTTTAAATATTTGCAAATTGTTTTCATTCCAGAGGGCTGTTTCTTTTGTCACAGTTGTATGAGGTTAGTCCCAGTAATGCAGACTGAACACAAGGAGCCTAAAAAAAATAAACCGTCTTATTAAACAGAAACAAAAAGCTGTCGTGATGGGGGTGTGGTGAAGTGGGTAAAGAAGGTGGGCCTGTGATCGGAAGGTTGCCGGTTCAACTCCCCCAACCAACAACTTCAAAATGTGGGTGGAAAAGGTGAAGCACCCACACCTGCCCCCACCTTCATTTGCCCCACACTGGACTCTTGAGCAAGGCTCTTTAGTCTTAACCCCATCATCTGCTCCCCTGGGCGCTCTAGATGGCAACTCTCTGCTCCACACAGAGGGCTGTGGTAGCTCAGTGATATGTGGTTGCGTCAGGAAAGACATCCAGCATAAAAACAATTGCCAAAATCTTTGTGCGAGTTGGTTCGTTGTAGTGACTCCTGAAGAAGGGAGCAGTCAAAAGAATAAAAAACCTGTCATGGCTACTCAAATGTAAAACACTGAAGATCAGACAAAGGAAGGCACAAGGAGACTCGAGAAGATGCAGGAAGAGCTGGGCTTGCTGTTAGAACACGTGATCCTCCACTGAGGAGTGAATGAATGCAGAAAGGTTGACAGGACTGGGGCTGATGAGAGGAGCGACTTCAGCTGTGACAGGTGAAGCAGAGTGCAGGTGTAGGTGGGAGTAGCAGATGGAGGAGCAGAGACC